TCGCGCCTCATCAACAACTCAAGAAGATTAAGGCTCACGGTAAAGCAACGAAACGCTCCCTCAGCGCGAGTGGTCGTGTCAAGCTCAGCGGTGCGACCAAGAAGTCCCCGTCTGCGGCGGGCGGAGATGAAGATGAGGACGATTCGCTTCTCAGCAGTGCCGAGGCTTCGGATTCCAACGCCAGTGATTCTCGACGCATGGATGAGGACATTGACGAGGAGGAGGAGGAAGAGGAGGGCAACGAGGATACCAAGGTCTACTGTACCTGCCGCAGTGTCAGTCATGGAGACATGGTCGCGTGTGATAACGACAATTGCCCCTACGAGTGGTTCCATTGGAAATGTGTTGGTTTGACGAGGGAGCCGGTGGGAACTTGGTATTGCCCACACTGCAAGTCAAACTTGGGCAAGTAGTTGGTCTCTGCTGTTATGTCTTGATTTTCTTTTCTGGCGTTCACTATGCGATGTTCTTACTTCACTGTCCATATACCCATCACTTGTACCTTCATGAAATGGTACCCGTTATGACATGCGAGATTGCAACCGATGTAATCACACTACTAAAACGGCCCTGGACGTTGAGCTTAATCGTACTTGGTGGTAATTCTTCGAGTTACAGAAGCATTGCAAGAAGCACTGGTATGTCCATAACATGTCATGATTAACTAGAGATAACAAACATGCATCATCACCCCATTACAAGTTCTGAGGGAACGGTAAGCCGTGGGAAGAACAATTTTGAAGCTCGAGAAAGAGTATCTGCAGATCATTTCCATCATATCTCCGTGACTAGAGCCCCAGTCGTTTACCGACCGAGCCGAATGACACCAGCCGCCATGAGTTTCTGGATCTTCGTCCGGACCTGAACGTTCTTCATGTGTTCTTGCAGGGCAGCAGGGTCGCTCTTGGCCTGCTGGAGAATGCTCTGCATGACTGGGTCCTGAAGGATCGACATGATCTGATTGCGTCACGTTAGAACTAACGCTCCAATTAGTGGAAAGGGCTGAAGTGACTTACCTCAGGGTCATTCTGGATTCTCTCCATGGTCTGCTGCTCCGTCTCGCCAGCACGAGCGCTGAATTGAGCCTCCAGACACTTTTGCTGCTGCTGATCAATCTCACGGGCGTGCGTTCCGTCGTCTTGCTCTGCGGCTTCCGTGCAGGCATCCAAGGCCTTGCTGTATTCCTTCATAGCGACCAGAGCTTGAGACTTGCGAATATAAGCGCGGATGAACTTGGGATCACGGCGGATAGCCTCGTCGCAATCCTGAACGGCTTGAGGGAAAGCCATAAGCTTGATGAGGGCAGCGGCACGGTTCGAGAATCCCCTGGGGTCGTGAGGAGCACGCTTGGTCATTTCGGTAAAAGCATCAACAGCACCGGGCCAGTCCGCCTCCTGAAACTTCTTCTGGCCGAGCTCGCGAGCCTTTTCTGCCTCGGCGGGGTCAATGTACGCCTCTTTCTCGGCCTTGTCCTTGGCCTTTTCTGCGTTACGAAGCTTGGTGAGAGCGTCGGGAGTGCGGTGTTCAGTGAGGGATTTGTGGTAGTATTCGATTGCTTGTGTAAAATCACCGAGCTTCTCATAAGCGCTACCGATTCTCGCGAAGGCCCTTTTGAAGACAAATGGTTAGCCGAGACAAGGAAAAAGACAAAGACTTCAAAACTCACTTGGCGATGACCTTGAAATCTGCCCGAAGTTCGCGACCTTCTTCAACGGCCTTCTGACAGATGTCGATGGCACCCTGGAGATCACCCTTTTCGAACTTGGCAGCACCGATGTTGTTCAAGTATGTAATGTCCTTGTTGAGCTCCCAAGCCTTGGTGTAGTGCTCAATAGCCTCATCAAATTGTTTCTTCTTGTAGAAGTCGTTGCCGATCTTCTTCTCGGCGTCGCCAGCTTCCTGAGCCTTCTTCTTCGCGATAGCCTCCTCGTCCTCGGGCTCAGGCTCGGGTGCTGGTTCAGGTTCCTTCTTCTTTTCGGCAGCAGCGGGCTTCACATCGGGCATCGGCACGTCCTCCTCGGCCTCTGCAGCAGCCTGAGAGGAGCCAGCGGCCTCTGGGGGAGCTCCAAAGCTCATGTCGATTCCCAGCAACACACTCATTACCTGTAAGAAACGAGGATCTTGGATCTCCTGGCCAATGCTATTGGGGTTTTGCTGAAGGCGTTGGAGTTTCGACATGAAGTCGGCGTCTGCAAGAAGGTGGGAGGTCTTAGGGTTGCTGGCTAATTTCTGGAACATCTGAGGGTCGTTGAAAATTCCACCCAAACCGGCGGTAGGGTCTCCGGTGACACCGTCCGCCTGAGCTTCGGCATCGATGGCTCTCTTCACAGCGTTGAGACCGGACTTGGCCTGATCGTTGCTGGGGTCGAGCTTCAGAGCTTCTTCATAGGCATCGTGAGCACCCACTAGATGTTTACAGTTAGCACCATGCAATCACGCAATATATCCATGGAGTGGTATACTTACAGAGGTCTCCGAGGCCACGGCAAGCCGCTCCCTTACGGCTGTAACCCTTCGACCAGTCTGGCTTGATTTCAACGGCCTTGTTGGCATCGTCCAAAGCTTTCTGGTATTCTGACTGCGCTGCGTAGACAGCGGACCGGTTGGAGTATAGAATGTGGTTGCTAGGCTCGATTTCAATAGCCTGTGTGAACTTCTCACTATAGAAAAAAAGGTTAGTCTTCTTTCTCCGTAATTCCCGTCCAGGAAGTGCAGCCGAGTTTTGACATAACCCAGCCTAATGTGTGTGTCTCTGCTTGGTATACTCCGTACATCACACCACTGGAGACGAGCGGGGTAGCATCTACATACATAGCGGTAGGGTAGTCCTTAGCAGAGAAGGCCTTGTTGCCCTCTGCCTTCAAAGCGTCAGCCATACTGCAAGATTTTTCAAGGACAGGTATGCTGGAACAGAAATGTGACGATGACTCCTGGTTGGAAACAATTGCGGTAGAGAATCAGCAGCTGACGGACAAAGCGAGCGCTGGGCCCATATTAATGAGCTCTGCCCGCTGGAGCTTCTGGAAATTTCCGAGGAAGTCATTGGATGCCTGAGGCAAAGCCCAGGCCAAGCTCTCTGGAGCTTTGCTGGCCCTAAACCCTTCTGGGCCGAAGTGTCCCCCCGCTAATCAGAAGACGCCGCCGAACAAAAAAAATAACATCTCCGCCGCCTTTTCCTACGTAGTGGTTAGTCACGATTTGACACTGCTGAGGACTTGTATCTGTTCTTGCGTGTGCTGCATTGCATTGCTCTGGCTGGTTCTTTTCAATTGTCGTCGCTTGTTCGAGTTTTATTGTTTTATTCTTGTTTGACAATGCTCGTTTCCAAGGCTGTCCGGTGATTTCTGTCTCTCTCTCTCTCTCTCTGTGGCCAACGGCTCGAAAATGGCTTCCGCGGGGCCCTCTGGCAGCTCCATCAACGAGCTTGCATCCAGACTTTACGACGAATGTTTAAAGAGATACGACTCTGATCATCTCTTCTATCAACAAGACCTGCTGGGCTTGGGTGTCATTGAGAGGAACAACCTACCACTTCTGCTGCAATGCACACAGTTGCTCGTCGACCAAAAACTATTTCGCCTCCTTCAGGGCAAAAATGATCGTTTGGCATGGAAGATCATTTCTCGGGAAGATGCTGAGAAGTACGTCACCTGTTGGATACAGGCCCATGCGGATGGTTGCTAATGTTCTATTCTTTTCTTGCATAGGCTTCAGAATCTCAGCCCCGACGAAAGTTTAGTCTACAATGTCATCCACTCGACAGGGCGCAACGGCATCTGGGTCCGTGCGATACAGAGCCGGACCAATTTGCACAAATCTATTCTAGATCGGTGCCTCAAATCGCTGGAAGGGAAGAACTACATCAAGAGTGTCCACAATGTCAAGTTTCCGAGTCGGAAGATGTATATGCTGGCGGGCCTGGCTCCGAGTGAGGATGTCACGGGTGGTGCTTGGTTTACTGATGGAGTACTGGACGCGAACTTTATCAGTACTGTTGCTGGCTTCATCGAGTACACCGTTAGCCGGAAGAGCTGGTATGAGGTTCCCGCTGCAGGGAACAAGCGCTTGAAAACGGCCGATGGGCGTGCCTCAGTGAAACAGGAATCGGGCGAAAAGAAATACCTCCCTTATCCTGCCGGCTATGAAGGCTATCCAACTGTCGCGATGATTACTGGGGCCGTGAACGAAAGTGGGATCACACCCGTCCGGCTCGGAGAGGAGAGCATCATACAATTACTGGAGATGCTCTGCTATGACAAGAAGCTCGTTGCGCTGAACAACGGTCAATTCTATAAATCGATTAAGAACCCCGCCGCCGTAAAACTGGAAAAGAACCGGAAACCAGAGGGCGATGAGGAGGATGTGGGAGACAAGCTGGTCACGAACGGCATGACCGAAGCGCCCTGCGGTGCATGCCCCGTCTTCAAGCTCTGCGCCCCTGGCGGTGCCGTGAGTCCGGAGAGCTGCGAGTATTTCGATCCTTGGCTGCAAAAGGCGCTCGGATTCTAGCTTGTTGCACGAGCTCCCTGTCGTCAATGAACGTCCTCTCACGGCTGATATCCTGTTCGTTTCTCCTATTTTTCTTCACATGTATAGTGCGCGCATCTGCGCCAGGTCATTTGTGTCTGCATAGCGTTGGCGTTCTTATGTCTCGGGACTGGTCACGGTTTAAGGTCTTCTGTTCTCTCGATATGAGCAAGTTGTTCAGGGTTAGAGAATGAGGTCAGAGCGCAGGAGGGGTTTATTGCTCCCTCGTCTAGTGGTTTTGATAATGGTATGCGTTGAAACGGAGATCTTCAGGTTCTAGCTTTCTATCAGACAGCCCTGGTCTACTCTGGGTAGTTTAGTGATTCTTGAAGGTTGTAGGGTGCTTCAATATTTCATTGACATCGACTAGTGGCCGGTGAACACATCTGTGCTCTCCCATCACTACCGTCAAATGGCCATATCCCAGCAATCCCCTTGGGATTGGGCCAGAAGGGTGGCTGTTCTTATCACGTTCAAATCTCCCAGCCATTCAATCTGTTACCGCTCAAACTGTCGATCTTGTCGCGCAGCTCTTCGATCCGAACCTCCACACCAGTCTGCTGGTGCAACATGCGTAGGAAGCTGTTCCAGATGCGACGGCGTCTCGGTCTATCCAACGGGGGATAATGGAGGGTCAGCTGTACGCGAGATTTGAACGCCTCATCGAAGGTCCCAATTCGATTTGAGGTGAGGATAAGGTTCCCTTCATAGTACTCTAGTACATGGAAAGACAGACACGAGGGCATTTCGCTGTGTATCTGTCGGACTACGTTCCTCGAGGAAGATGTCTGCCTCGTCCAGCAGGATCACGCAGTTCTATTTCATCCCGAGGTAAAGGACCGTTTCAAAGTATCCTTCAACGTCCTCGGCGTTTGTGTCGATGTCTCCGCAAGTGACACGGTACAAAGGGCGATGCGTGAGCTCGGTAACAGATTCCGCGGTGAAAGTTTTTACTGTCCCTGGTCCGCCGTGCAGGAGGAGGATGAGACCGGTGCCTTTGCCTTTCGATCACATGGTTGGGATGTTGCTCCAGCTTCCACTGTGAGAGGCGAAGAGTCAGTACAGAGTAGGTATTGAGACAGGAAAGAATCGGATTATCAGAACATCCAACATATTAGCTGCATGACTAGCTCGAACAAGCAAAGTTAAATCCGGCGCATGGACCTGGAAATCATGAAATCCTAAGAGTAGTGGTCCCCGTCTTCGGTCATACTCTAACTCTGTACAATTCCATCACAAAAGGAATAGGCCAGGCTCAAGCCTCAATATTCAGGTTTCTCCGGCTCATGCACGATTGCACTTTCGTCTTTCATCACCCATGTGAGTGCCTGAGTGCCCCAGGCTGTCAGGCAACTATGGTTGTTCAAGATCGAATCCCCACATCATCAAGAACCATGGGAGGATGTGAGACAGTCAATCGGTTCCTGGCTATCCTAGCAGTCGTACATTCATGAACTGTAACTAATAAGTATAGGGCTTATTCGATGGACTGAAATCAATAATGTTGTCAATCTCAATGTCCGACTCCTAGTATCCACACTTGCAGTAGTGTCTACAATTGACCAAAATGATCAATGCAGTGGTCCAAAGTTCTAAGCTATTTTGTGGGATAAGGTTAGATAGCTAACAACCTCACGCTCACATGAAGGTAGGACTGAGACGATTGTGGTCAAGGTTTCAATCATGACTGCTTAGGCTACCTTGAATATATATTGTTTTCCTGCGGAGTACCGAGTACAATGATCTCAGGTCGCAGGCAGTTCAGCCCGAGTCATGCACGCTACGTGCCTACGTGTAAGTTTTGATGCAAACTTGGGTGGCAAGAATCAAGATGGGCCGGGATTCAGCGGTATTTCTTATGACAAAGTGTGGCTGGTGACGGAGGATAACTGGGCAGCAGGATAGGACTTCACTTAGATGCTGTCTACCTTTGCTGTTTCTGAAATTCAGAGCTAGAGACGAAGGGGTCAAATACAACAGTGATGGCTGTCCATTGACGCGGAAAAGGACATTTACTCAGACTAAGAAAAAGATAGGCATTGCTCTCAGTCGCATCGAGAACCTGAAGTTATCGCAAGAACCAGTGCCACGGATTTGATTTCCAGTGAGGGGTTTCATCAGCGCTCAACCCTTAGGTGCCTGCCACATTGGTTGGTACCTAAGAGAGGGTATTTGATTCGGGGTTACGGAGGCAATTGAAGGATTTTTTGCAGAAACAATGAAACAGTATTTACTTTACCTTAGCGGACTGGAGGCCTAGGAGCTGGGACTGAAATGTGGCGCACTATCGACTTACCTAGCCTCCTGAGTTTCTACTTTGAGGTTAGCTTAGATCTCATGAATGTGGCGGTGCAAATCAGTCCACCCAGGAGTCAGGACTCAGGAGCTCCTTCAGGCTGTTTGCAGCTCATCCGGGCCGACGTGCCTCGGGTTGAAGAACTCCTACCTAATACATGGCTGAGTATTTCAAGGCCTGAATACTGAGTACTCCGTACAATAGATTCTTAAATTCGAAGCTGATATAACAAGGACTAATTCAGATGAACATATTTGGAAGGAAACTAGAGGCTGGTACGGAGTACATAGCTACCTACTACCTAGGCTATTAGTAGGCAAGGAGCTGTCGTAATTCACACTCAATCGGTGATAGTCTCCTGTCTCCACAAACAAGTATTGGGTGATTGGCCCCGTTCAAGAGGGATAGCCAGATAGCTTTCAATGATTCGTTCAGGAGAAGAAAGAATTTTTTTTTTAAAAAAAAAGTACTATGGTACAGTCCCTAGGAACTAGGAAGTAGATCGATCGTGGAAGCTCATCCTCCTTTTTCTGGACTGTTCCGGGTTCCAGCTGCAGGTAGATAGATACGTCACGACCTGAGCTAGCTGGCATGATCCCTTTTCCTGTACGGAGTACTCTCCATAGTCTATCAAACGTAGATATCTCTCTACCTTTTTACCTTGAAGAGTATTCCGTATCTGATCATCACGAACCCAGTCAATTGGCATCTATCACCAGCCTTTGTCTTATCCTCTATCTACCCTCCAAACCCCACCGTCGCTCTCTCGCGGTGATCCATCTCCCCGGTCCTCTTTACACTAGCCACGCTCACTTTTGACGCAAGTGGCTCTGAATGAAGTCAATCCTCCCGCTTTGGGATTGACTCGGTTACCCTGATCTGATTGACTTTTCTCTCCTCCTATTATTTCATCATAGAAACCATCCCACCGACCTTCGGAGTCGGATGGTACCTATTTAATCACTTCTAGAAACTATCGCAAGAAGGCTGCCTCTTTTTTTCCACCCGTTCTCACCCTCGATCTCCCCAGAAGTGGGTGCCTCAGTTCCAAGGTACGCAGCCACCCCTCCCACAGTCCCACTACCTAAGTACACAGTAGCATCTGCATCTCAGCTCGTTATCGTTGGGTGCTTCGTGCTTCGCCGATTCGGGCCCCCCGCTGCGGAGGTTCCTGAAGGCAACCATCGAAATTAAGCGCCAAATCCAATGTTCCCATTTGAGCGCCCACGAACTCTCATGAACCGAAATACACATTATTCCCTTAGACCGTGTATTTTTCATTGATCCTTTTTCTATCTATTGTTTTCTTTTCCCTTTCTTACCCTTGCTCATCAGTGCATTTTTTGTCCTCGTCTCCCACGATTTCAAGAGAAGAAGGCCACCGTTGGCGGTTCTCTAACGGTTTATAGTAGGTGAATCCTTCACCCGAGGCTTACCGCTTCGTTCCCCGAGCCGGAGGCAGCGATGGCGTCGCAGAATGTAGAGGACCAAAAGGGTGAATTGAGGCAGCAGGGAGCCATTGAGACTGCGCAAGAGGCCTCCAAAGACCCTCAATCTAATCTCCGACCAGAAGCGGTGGAGAAGGTATTGATCGAGGAAACCCGAAAGGCTGGCTTGCCTGCGTATCAATTCGACCCTGATGCCTCCCCTGAAGAGAAAGCCGCAGCAGCCGCAGCAGTGAGTTTTTACCTTAATCTTGTCCATGGTTGTTGTAGGGCAAATGATCGCTAATTGTCTCTCCCCATAGCGAGTACCACCAGGTTTTCACCATGACAAAAAGCCCAAAGCGAAGGCTATTGCTACGGATGTTGTGAGTGCACTTTAGGCTCCCAGCACCACCCTCATTCTACGATCAAACGCCTCATGATGACAACCAACCCACAGGACGATGGTACTCCCGACCAATATGACTTGCCCCCTCTGAGATCGGCGACAGACCTCATCAAGGAAGAAGCCATTAAAACCGCGGAGGACAAAAAAGAAGGCGCGGAAATGACCGATGATTTGCGATGGGCCCGCGACCGGACAGGATGGGCTCCGCAGTTCGAAAAGCCACAGACCGAGGAGGAAAAGGCAGAGGGTACATTGTTAGATCACCAAGACTTTCTGGAAAGCAGATTGGATGATAAGTTCTTCGGAGGTAAGAGAAATCTATCCCCATGCCCATGTCTTCTCCATGACCGTAGAAACTGACCGGAATTTACCAACTTCCAGACTGGTATCACAATGCCGGCGTGATTATCTTTGCGTGTTTAGCCTCCTGGCTCGTCGCTGTCTTGGGCGGCGGACTGGGCTGGATCTTCATTGTCATGGCTGCTTGCAGTACGTACTATCGGACATCGATTCGGCGCGTGCGGCGAAATTTCCGGGACGACGTCAACCGTGAAATGGCCAAGCAACGCCTGGAAACCGACACCGAGAGCTTGGAATGGATCAACAGTTTCCTTGTCAAGTTCTGGCCCATCTATGCGCCCGTCTTGTGCGACTCAATCATCAACTCGGTGGACCAAGTCCTCAGCACTTCGACTCCCGCCATGCTCGATAGTTTGCGACTGAAGACTTTTGTTCTGGGTAGCAAGCCTCCGCGATTGGAGCACGTCAAGACCTATCCCAAAACCGAAGTCGACACAGTCATTATGGATTGGAAATTCAGTTTCACGCCAAACGACGTCATGGATTTGACTGCCCGCCAGCTGAAGAACAAGATCAACCCTAAGATCGTCTTGGAAGTCAGACTTGGCAAAGGTGTTGTGAGCAAAGGTCTAGACGTGATCGTTGAGGACATGGCATGCAGCGGTCTCATGAGGGTCAAGGTGAAACTTCAGATTCCGTTCCCTCACATCGAGCGCGTTGATGTCTGCTTCTTGGAGCGACCGGAGATCGACTATGTCTGCAAACCCCTCGGAGGCGATACGCTTGGCTTCGACATCAACTTCATTCCCGGTCTTGAGAGTTTCATCAAGGACCAGATTCACAGCAATCTGGGACCCATGATGTACGATCCCAACGTCTTCCCGATCGAAATTGCCAAGATGTTGGCTGGCAACCCTGTGGACCAGGCTATCGGCGTGGTGGCTATCACCCTCCACGGCGCTAGTCAGTTGAAGAACCCGGATAAGTTTGCAGGAACCCCGGACCCTTACGCTGTCGTGTCTCTCAACAATCGTGTCGAACTGGGTCGCACGAAGACCGTTCGCGATACGGATAGTCCCAGATGGGGAGAAACGATCTATGTCATTATCACCTCCTTTGCAGAGTCGCTCACAATCATCCCATACGACTGGAACGAGTTTCGGAAGGACAAAGAACTCGGCACGGCTACTTTCCCATTGGACAGACTCGAAGAGCAGCCCGAGCACGAAAGCATCTACCTCGAAGTCATGGCCAGCGGCAGATCCCGTGGTGCAATCCACGCCGACATCCGATTCTTCCCCGTGTTGGAAGGCCGCA